GCCGCCGCGCCGCGGGCCTCCGCAGGCCTCGAAGCCGTCCGAATCCCGCATCCGCCCGGCCCTGGCTGGCCGCTCGCTCTCCGCGAAGCCTGACTTACCGGGAGCGGGATTGGTGCGGCAGGAGCCGCCGCCGACGCACTCGCGCGAGGAAGCACCCCCGGAAGCCACGGAGGAGTAACCCTCAAGCAAAACGCCGCCGCCTCAACAGCTACCCACTTCCGCTCCTGAGGCCTGGGCTCCACCCCCCGCGCACTCCCATTGGCCGTCGTCCCCTCGACTCCCGCGGTCTACCGGTCCAGGAGGTATGTTTTCCAATCCTATTGGATAAGAAAACCATCTATTACCGCTTTGAAATGCGCCTCTTTCCGGCCCCGCCCACGCTCGCGAGCTCGCGCTCCTGCCTTCCCGCGAGAGTCGGGGTCTGCGCCCCTCGGTGCGCAGGGCCTCTCGGGAGTTGTGGTTTACTGGGCCACTGCCGCCGCGGGCTCCCGGCGCTCTGGTCCTGGCCACGCACCGCCGGGCGACGGCGCGGAGCTGGATGTTAGTTCAGGGCAGCCTTTCCGGGGCCTGCATACCCGGACCCACTCCCGGCCTCCTCCGGGCCTAAGTTCTCTTTCCTGTTAGCGCGGCCTTTGTGAGCATTGGCCCCGGGGTCTCTACTGCCGGCCAGAACCCGGAACTGAATCTGCACCAACTCCAGGGCGCTCGCGACACGACGTGCCAGGCCCTGGGCGGGGCTTCCGGTCCCAGTGATCCCGGACTGCTTCCCAGGCCGGCGGTGAAGACAGGAGGGAAGTCCAGCCTCGCCCGTTCGCGGGAACCCGGAGGAGGCACTCAACCAGAGTCCCTGGGAGGGCTCTCCGGAGGAAACGACTTCGGAGCTGGGAACTGAAAGGACTAGAAAGGAAGAGAGCGAGCTCAGAAGAGGGAGCCTGGGTGGGGAGAGATAGGCTGGCATGTCCAGGAGACTGCAGGCTGCCCACTGTGCGAGGAGCAGAGTTGGGGAGCGGTGGCTGTGGGGGGAGGCAAGAGCCATGTTGTGCAGGGACCAGATACCAGGTTGAGTCTGGATTATCCCGAGGGCAGTGGGTGTGGGAAAGGAAGGACTGAACCCCTGGGGGAGCACTCTGGCCCAGGACTAGTCCTGGGAAAAGGGTCATGGCCCCGGGAAGAGGCCCGGAGCTCTCTGGGGCATCTGGCATAACTCCACGGGTTAAGAGCGTGCGGACTCTGGACCCTGCCTGCCTGAGTGTGAATCCCAGATCCACTGTTTAAGCAGGTCTCACCAGTCCCCTCACCTGGCATATGGGGATAACAGTCCAGTACCCGCCTCAGAGGGGGAAGGTGGGGAGGACCCCACCCAGAACAGCACAGGTTCAGAACCTCAGGAGAAAAGCAGGTGGTGGGTTCCTAGAGTTCAGCTGCCAGAACTGGTCTTGGACATGGATTTGGCAATAGAAAGCCTAGCTTGTCCCTCCTGTTCTGAGGGAACCCAGATCCAGGCCATGGCCATCATGGCTGGTCCCCAAACACCCTCAGGCAGTGAGGACATCACTCCAAGTGCCTCGGATGGACTTTTACTAAGAGGGGTTCTTCAACCCAGAAGATTGAGTCATGTATGGAAATGACTAAGCAGATCAAAACCAGAGAGCATTCGTGGTTTTGTGTCGAGTTTACAAGTAGTCTTTGTGTTTGATACTTATGTAATTGTAAAAGAATTTGACATGGCAGATAAATCCGATTCTGCATGAAATATGTTGAGTATTGATTTTTTTAAAAAGATTATATTTATTTATTTGACAGAGAGAGACACAGCGAGAGAGGGAACACAAGCAGGGG